CAAATCTTCCCCCACCAGGGTCCCAGCCTCGACAGCGCGGCGCCCATTTCTCCTGGGAGATTTAGGAGGGCGGAAATCTCTGGAAAGGGTTTGGCGGCGCCGGCGGCGCCGGACAGCTCCTAATTGGATGCCTAATTCTCGGCAGGTGCACGCTCAATTCCCCGCATCTGCTTTCCCGGGATCTGATTGGCTGGCGCCGTGTGGGCCGGCTTTGGGTTCCATCCGGGTCATTGGGCATCCGCACGCAGCGGGACTGCTCGGTTCAGGGCAGCTCCGCCCAACGATTGGCTGACGGCGGAGGACGGGGACAGGCGAGCCTGAGAGCTGGGCGCTGATTGGTGCGGGCGGGCCGTGGGGGCGGGGAAGCGCGGGATGAAGCGCGAGCGGCGTCGGCGCTCCGAGTAGTCGTGCCCAGAGGCGGAGGCGGCGGGCCGAGGTGCGAGGCGGCGGGCGACACGAGACTTGACGACGGCGGAGAAGCGGTGGGGACCGGGGATCGGGAGCGGAGGCCGGCGCTGTGGGGGGAGGACGACCGCAGCCGCCGCTTGTCGCGTCCCGAGGCTGGCTCAGCGTGCGGGCCCTGGGGGGCGAGGACAGCACCCTGCCCTGGACGCGCTGTGCGGGCGGCGGCTTTAGCCCCGGTGTAGACGGACGCGGGTGCCAGGAGAAAGCGCGGCCCTCGGTCCGCGTGGGTCCTCCTCCACTGGCTCTGGGGGTTGGGGGGGGGGATAAGAACCTTCGACAGTTGAATTCGTTTGTCATTTACATTCCCGCCTTTTGGTGTAAAGTCTAGCGTGCTGGCGGTTCCTGGTCCTCAGGGAACAGCACGTGGTCCGGGGTCGGGGAGGGAGTTGCCATTCTTACAGCAGCTAATAAGCCAGTGAGAACCAATACATTTTTATGTGTCCGGAGAAGGGGTAGTAAAATTTTAAGTTTGTTCCAAATATAAGTTTCCCAACGGATCCCTGTGTCCGTTGCTGGGTCTGGTGTATTGTTATTGAAACTCTAGTCGGCTGCTCTCCATCACTGGCACCTGCAGTAGCCTCGGCTTACTCTCCACCTGATTGGGGCCTTGGATCCATTCGCCTCACTGCCAGCACAGCCAGTGGCTAATCAAGAGTTACAAGTGTGGGGCATGTGCTGCAGAGGGCTCTTTAGAGTCAGCTCAGGGCTAGGGACTTTGGAAGCATCCATCAGAAGATACTTTTGTGTCTGTCTCCCACACCCTCATCTCCATCTGTCCTTCTAACTCTGCCTTTCAATTAATCATTTTAAAACTGTAACTTTTTTTTTAAGATTTCTTTATTTTTATTGGAAAGGCAGATATACAGAGAGGAGGAGAGACAGAGAGGAAGATCTTCCGTCTGCAGCAGCTGGGGCTGAACTGATCCAAAGCCAGGAGCCAAGAGCTTCTTTCAAATCTCCCACACTGAAGCAGGGCCCCAAGGCTTTGGGCGATCCTCGACGGCTTTCTCAGGCCACAAGCAGGAAGCTCGATGGGAAAAGCAGGGCTGACCCCATATGGGATCCCGGTGCTTCAAGATGAGGACTTTAGCCTAGCTGCTAGGCCACTGCCCCGAGTGCTAAACGTGTAATTTTTGTAGGAAGCAGAATCTGTATCTTTGGTCTGATCAGAGGTGACTCCCTGAATACCACCTGCGCTTTCACAGTCATGGGGACTGTATCTTGCATCTCCTTCAGAATAGAAGTTTCTTTTTATCCATTGAACAAAGCCTTAAATGGAAGGAGAGCCCCTCAAGTCCTTGCTGAAAGGGAGGGGGTCCCACCCAGGTGATAGGTGATAGGGTAGGAGTCTTGGAATGCCCTAACCATTCTCTAGAAAAAAAAAGGACTTGGTAAATTTCTGGTCCCTTCTGGAAGAAATTTATTCACTAAAGCTTTGGGTTTGGATGTAATTAAAACTTTTTTTCTTAGTGGATGTAATTGTGATGATCTTTACATAGTTGACGTAAGGCACAAAGGGTCAAGGGCTGCAGGAAAGTGGGTAAGACCATTGTTTCCACGTTTTTTCCTGTATAGGAGAGAGACTTAGGGAGAAGACCCACCCAGCCTGCTAACCACCCACCGTCATGGGACATGCTCGGAGGGTTCTGATAGTTCAGCAGTTCTGAATTGCTGCCAGTCTTGCTATTCCAAGCATGGTGAAATCTCTCCAGAATTCTGGCTGACATAGAATGGATGTAATTTAATGAGTATTTTAACCTAAACAGAATAAGACCTATGTTTTCAAGGTGAAAGACACTTTTGCAAATCTTTTGGATTTATATTTTGTACCTAGAAGTACCAATCAGCAGTATTTCAGAACTATCCAAACCACTTGGAGAGAATCCCTGGAATATGCACACTTTGAGACTCTGGGTGGATGTGATGTGGCGGTTGCTCCTCCCTGGGTACTGAGACGTGTGGAAAGCTATGGGTGGTTTCCCCCTTTATCTCTTCCTCTTCCCCCAGAAACAGGAAGAAATAGCAATTTTGGAAGCGGTGAGTTCACCCAATTTTCCCTAAACCTCGATCTTTGCCCCCCGATCAACCATGTAATCATTATAAAAATACATTTTTTAAAAAAGCAATAGCATGGATTATAAACCTCGTCAAAAGCCAAATAGCGTTTTGTTTTAGATTGTAGTATTTGGAAACAATGTCCTTAGATTACTTCAAAAGATTTTTGCTTATTTATACAGAAATAGAGGTATCTTGGCCTCCATTGGGGCATTGCCTAAACAGCTATTAAGAACAGTGCTGGCTCTTTTATACACAGGTAGAACAAGAACCAGCAACCAGATCGTGCCAGGACAAAGCCCATCGGGGATAGGGATTGGCTGTGTGCTAGCCTATACTCTGGGACTAGCCTCTGGAAAGAGACCCACGTTTTGTTCAGTGAAGGACTGCCCCTTTGCCTCATTGTGACTGGAACCTGACCTGCCTGCCTATTGGCTCATCTAAGTCTCCTGCCATGTTTGAATCCTAGCTCCTCTGCTTCTGATAACTGCTTTCTGTTAATTGGCGTCCTAAAGACATTTCTTTAAGACAGAAGGGAGAAACAAATATTCCATCCACTGGTTCCTTCACTCCCTAATGAGGCTGGCCCAGGCTGAAGTCTTGAACTTCTTCCAAGTGTCTCACATGTCCTGCTGTAATCACCTCCAGCATGAGTGTCACAGTTCCACTACTGGCTTCTCTGCTTTGGATCCAGCTCTTTGATGGCCTGGGGAAAGCAACAAACCATTCCACTAGTGCTTGGGGTGCTGTCATCCCCATGGAAGACTCAAAGAAGCCCTTGGCTTGAGAATGGCCCAGCCCTGCCACCTTGCAGGGAGGTGAACTAACAGATGGCAGATCTCTCCCTCTCTCTAACTAACTCAGCCTTTAAAAAAAAAAAAAATGAAAGAGGACCTGATGGTGTGGCATAGTGGCTAAAGTCCTCACCTTGAACGTGCCAGAATCCGATATGGGCACCGGTTCTAATCCCAGCAGCTCCACTTCCCATCCAGCTCCCTGTTTGTGGCCTGGGAAAGCAGTCGAGGATGACCCAAAGCTTTGGTACACCTGTGTGGGATACCCAGAAGAGGTTCCTGGATCCTGGCTTTGGATCGGCATAGCACCGGCCGTTGCGCTCACTTGGGGAGTGAATCATCGGACCGAAGATCTTCCTCTATGTCTCTCCTCCTCTCTGTATATCTGACTTTCCAATAAATAAATAAATCTTTTTAAAAAATGAAAGAACAGGGCCCGGCGCGGTGGCGCAAGTGGTTAAAGGTCTTCGCCTTGCACGCCCGGGATCCCATATGGGCGCCGGTTCTAATCCCGGCAGCCCCGCTTCCCTTCCAGCTCCCTGCCTGTGGCCCGGGAAAGCAGTCAAGGACAGCCCAAAGCTTTGGGACCCTGCACCCGCGCAGGAGACCTGAAAGAGGCTCCTGGCTTCGGATCGGCATAGTATCGGCCGTTGCACTCACTTGGGGAGTGAATCATCGGATGGAAGATCTTCCTCTCTGTCTCTCCTCTCTGTATATCCGCCTTTCCAATAAATAAATAATAAAAATAAATCTTTAAAAAAAAAATGAAAGAACAAATGAATGTGAGGCCAGGGAAGGACATTGTTATGGTCTGGATGAGCTCTGAGAAGATTCTGAATTGGTCAGGGTCGCGGGCTTGAGTCCCTAGCATGTAGGTAGGAATTGAAGCTACAAGTGTGGGTGAGATTGCCCAAATAGAACTAAGCAGCTTTAGCAGTGAATGGAGGGCATAGACAAGCTCTAGGAGAAAGCACAGAAGCCAAGAGTGCCTGGAGGGAGGGCAGTCTCGCTGCTGCTGCTGCTGCAAAGAGAGGCGAGATGGGACTTCAGTGCTTGTTGTCATCTGTGATAGTAATCTAGAGAACTGAGTAAAGATGGCAAAAGAGTACTTCCAAGAAAGGTAGCCAGTCTTTATTTTTTTTTTCCTCTTAAATATTTATTTATTTTGGAAAGGCAGAGGAGAGACAGAAAGATCTTCCATCTGCTGGTTCATTGTCCTCCAAGTGGCCACAACAGCCAGAGCTGCTTCTAGCACTTCCATGTGGGTGCAGGGGCTCAAGTTCTTGGGCCCTCAGCTGCTTTCCCAGGTGTATTAGCAAGAAGATAGATTAGAAGCTTAACCTGTGGTGGCATAGGAGATTGAGCTGCTGCCTGTGGTGCTGGCAGCACATATGGGCGCCAGTTCGTATCTGCTTGCAGCCCAGCTTTGTTGCCATTCCAGGAATAAACCAGCAGATGGGGGAAAAAAAAAAAAAAGATTTTCTCCTCTCTTTATAGTAAAGTTTTAGTAGTTTGCTATAAAACTCTACAATGTGAAATCCAAAGATAGAATTTTAAATATTTGATTAATTTTAACCATTCCTTTGTCTCAACTGATCAGTGAATTAATCTTGTGGTCTGAAGAGTCATATCCTTGAACTAGCCGTATGGGTGTTAATGAAGGTCTTTTCCTTGTTCAGGATCTAATCCACCAAAGCAGAAAATGTATACTGGACGGACTTCTTGGACAAACCTGTCCACAATTCAAAAAATAGCACTGGGTCTTGGGATCCCAGCCAGTGCCACCATTGCCTATATCCTCTACCGCAGGTACAGAGAGAGCCGAGGTATGTGAACCCCTGGCTTCATCTGTGAGGGCGTCCAGGCTGGGGGCCAGCTTTGCTGAGTTGTCGCTGGGTGTTGGTTGAAATACATAATGGACTTTTTAATGACTTCCTTCAGCAATTCACTGGAATGTGGAGTTTTTTGTTTGTTTGTTTTTAATGTACTACTAATTTCTAAATTAGTCCTTGGGGTAAGGCAGTTTCTCTCTCAGGCTGGGCCAGATTAAGGTCCAGAGAAATCATTTCTAAGAATGTCAGGAGTTCTGCACCTGGGGTATGCCTTGGCAACTGCTGACCTGCGTTCCTTGAAGTGATGACTAGGCAGTGCTTGGCTCCAAACGCAGAGTCAGCATCTCTCATGTGTCTGACAGCTGATTGGTGGTGGGCTTTTGGTCACGTTGGGCGTATTTGCATCCCATCTGACGCACTATAATTTGTGCAGAAGAGCGACTGACATTTGTTGGGGAGGATGACATCGAGATAGAGATGCGGGTTCCACAGGAGGCTGTGAAGCTCATCATTGGGCGGCAAGGAGCCAACATTAAACAGGTAAGGCATCAGGCAATGAGCTTTCCAGAGTTCAGTTCACTTTTAGTTTCCTTCCTTTGGCTCCAAATAGTAAAGCACACCTGCATCTTTTTTTTTTTTTTTTTTTAAGATTTGTTTTTATTGGAAAGGCAGATCAGGTTTCAGAGAGGCAGAGAAAGACCTTCATCCACTAGTGCGCTCCCTAAATGGCAGGTGTATGGTCCCAAGTGTAGGCCATCCTCTACTGCTTTTCCCAGAGTGCAAGCAGTGAGATGGATGGGAAGCAAAGCAGCCGGGACATGAACTGGCACCCATATGGGATCCCAGCAGTTGCAAGGTGAGGACTTCAAACAATAGGCTACCATACCGGGCCCTGTGCAAGTTTCTTACATGGACAAAAGAAGCTTTTAAGCATAAGATGTAAGAGCAGGAGCCTGGGTCAGAAGTGGAGAAGCTGATTTATAGAGAGGAGAGAAAGATGTTCCATCTACTGGCTTACTCCCCATATGACTGCAGTGGTGAGCTGAGCTAATCAAGCTAGGGACCAGAAGCAGCATCTGAAAAGTAGCTGCAGGGTCCCAACAACTTGAGCCATCCTCAAGTGTTTTCCAAGGCCACAGTCAAGGAGTTGGATGAGGACTGATGCCAAATGGGTTACTGGGACTTGAAGGAAAAATTAGACAATTGAGCCATAGCAGCATTCCAGCTGATCCAAAACACCCATCACTTGAAGTAATTTGGAAAGCAGAATTGGAGACCAACAGGTCTTCACATTCACTGGTTAATTCCCAAAATGACTGGACAGTTTATGATCTCGCATGTGGGTTCAAGGGCTCAAGCACTTGTGCCTTGATCTGTTTTCCCAGGTGTGTTACCAGGGAGCTGAATTCACAGCGGAGCAAGCTGGACCCAGCACTGTAGCTTAGAGGCTAAAGACCTTACCTTGCATGCGCCAGGATCCCATCTGGGCGCCGGTTCATATTCCAGCTGCCCCACTTCCCATCCAGCTCCCTGCTTGTGGCCTGGGAAAGCAGTAGAGAACAGCCCAAAGCCTTGGGATCCTGCTCCCATGGGAGACCCAGAAGAAGCTCCTGGCTTCACATCAGCTTAGCTCCAGCTGTTGTGGCCACTTGGCGGATGAACCAGCGGATGGAAGATCTTTCTTTCCTCCTGTAAATCTGCCTTTCCGGTAAAAATAAATAAATCTTTAAAAAGGTGGATCAACCAGGACTCAAACTAGCACCTCTGTGGGATGACAGCATTGTGGGCAGTGGCTTAACCAAAGACATCACAATATCTGCCCTTTGAAATTATTTTTTTAAAAGATTTATTTATTTTATTGAAAAGTCAGATATACAGAGAGGAAGAGAGACAGAGGAAGATCTTCTGTGCAATGGTTCACTTTCCAAGCAGCCACAGTGGCTGGAGCTGAGCCAATTTGAAGCCAGGAGCTTCTTCCAGGTCTCCCATGTGGCTGCAGGGCCCCAAGACTTTGGGCCATCCTTAACTGCTTTCCCAGGCCACAGGCAGGGAGCTGGATGGGAAGTGGGGCTGCCAGGATACAAACCAGCACCCATATGGGATCCTGGTGCATTCAAGGCGAGGTCTTTAACCACTACGCTATCGCGCCAGGCCCCTGAAATAAATTTTTGATTGGATAATTCTTTAGGTTTGACTGTGAAATTGATGAGCTCGCATTGCCGTCAGTTGGCCATGAATATTTCTCTGGGTTTTCATTTGTTCTTGAAATGCCAATAATGGCTAAGGTATTGAGTCCAGCATACAAGACACCTGGATCCCGTATTGTACCTGGCTTGATTTTCCAGCTTCATGTCAGTGCAGACACTGGGACACAGCGGTGTTGACAGAAGTAATTGGGTTCCTACCTTCCATGTGAGCCATGAGGAAGGCACTGCTGCATTTGGCGCTGGCTGATTGTGCTAGCACTTACTCTCTAAATTTGTCTTAATATTTTTGTAAAGGGGACTTTGGCTCATTCAGATTATGTTTGGAGGAAAAGGCATTTGAAGCCCCAGCGGGAACTCAGCCAAGTGTGTTATCATGTATCATTTTCTCTGTAGCTGCGGAAGCAGACAGGTGCTCGGATTGATGTGGACACAGAAGATGTGGGTGATGAACGCGTGCTGCTCATCAGTGGTTTCCCTGTTCAAGTGTGCAAGGCTAAAGCGGCAATCCATCAGATCCTGACAGAGAACACGCCAGTGTGTGAGCAGCTCTCTGTTCCCCAGAGATCCGTGGGCAGGATCATAGGTACTACTGGACAGCTACCTCAGTTACTTTTATTCTTTATCTTTCTTTCACACTTCCCCGAGGATTTTCCGGGCCTCTCTCTCCGTCTTTTCTAGGAATATTGCCCAATGCATGTGTGCACACGTGTATGATTGAAAGGCAGACTTGGAGAGGCACAGAGTTTCCACCTGCTGATTCAGTGTCTAAATGCCCGCAACAGCTAGGGCTGGCAGGACCAAAGTGAAGAGCTCCATCTGAGTGCAAGGGGCCAAGCATTTGCTCCATCCTCTGCTGCAGGCAGGTGGATCAGAAGTGGAGCAGCCAGGCACCGGGCCTGGGCCCATATGGGATACTGACTCTGCAAGAGATGGCTTAATCCACTATACCATAGTCCTGACACCAAGACCAGAATTATATTTTTTTAGGATTTACAGAGAGGAGAGACAGAAAGATCCTCCATCCACTAGTTCACTGCCCTAGTGGCCACAATGGCCAGAGCTAAGCCAATCCGAAGCCAGCAGCCAGGAGCTTTCTCCAGGGCTCCCAGGTGGGTGCCGGTTCCCAAGGCCTTGAGCCATCCTCGACTGCCTTCCTGGGCCACAAGGCAAGGAGCTGGAAGGGAAGTGGAGCAGCTGGGATATGAACCAGTGCCACATGGGATTCCAGCATATACAAAGTGAGGACTCCAGACTACACCAGGCCCAGAATTTTACGTTTTTCACGACAAGTGATGAAACCATTTGCTCAACAAGTTGTGTGATCTAAACTTGGCAAGGAGGTCCCTGAGGGTTCTGGTTAATGCTTACATCATAATAGATTTTTTAAGGAAAACTAAAGGAGATGCTGATACTGAAAGCAGAAGCATCTGCATGTAAAGGCAGAATGCCTGTCCTGTACCCAGGCTTCCTTAAATTTTTAAAAAATTTATTTAAAAAATAATTTATGGGCCCGGCGCGGCGGCGCAAGTGGTTAAAGGTCCTCGCCTTGCACGCCCGGGATCCCATATGGACGCCGGTTCTAATCCCGGCAGCCCCGCTTCCCTTCCAGCTCCCTGCCTGTGGCCTGGGAAAGCAGTCGAGGATGGCCCAAAGCTTTGGGACCCTGCACCCGTGTGGGAGACCCGGAAGAGGCTCCTGGCTTCGGATTGGCATAGTATCGGCCCGTTGTGCTCACTTGGGGAGTGAATCATCGGATGGAAGATCTTCCTCTCTGTCTCTCCTCTCTGTATATCCGCCTTTCCAATAAAAATAATAATAATAATAAAATAATAAAAAAAAATAATAATAATAATTTATGTGATTGAGAGGGATGCATTCCCATGTGGGCGTCTGAGTAGGTTGGATGGGAGACATGTTTCAGTCTTTTTTTCTCCTGTGTCCTCGAGGGGTGTGGGAAGAGGGCTGCTCCTTGCTATCACACTGCATCAGCACCTAGGGATGGGAAATGGTCATTTGATTATGCCTTAGACTGCGATGTGGGAAGGAGTGCTCTGAGGATATTACTCGATGGGTTTGATAGTTCTAAGAAGTTATTGGTTTTGTTGCTCCACGGTTGAAAAACTCTCCAACATCTACTGGCTGACAAAGTTTACCCTAGTGCGTCCACAGACAAAGGAACACACTGCAAAGCTTGGCCAGGAGAATGATCCAAACTGTTCTTTCCATCCTCTGAGGCAGTTGACATTCCCTGTTGGCCTAGATTTGCTGGCTGTCATGTCCCCCATGCTGTCCACTGCACAGGTATCAGCAACTGAGGCCCAGTCTCTGTATGCACTCCATAGTCAGATCATACATCCTGAGATTATTCTCTGCAGTCCAGCTGGGAGAGTTTCAGCTGTGCAGGGTCAGCTGCAATCTGTCATCCCCAGCTAATGAACTTACTGATAGATACAGCTTTGTCAGTTCTGCTTCATCTCGGTATTTCACATGTAGCCCAGCCCAGCCTGCCACAGGCCTGGTCTTCATACATACTAGGGGATGCTGCAGCCTAGTTGGAGTGACCACCCCCCCCCCCCGCAATAAGCCCCACCAAGTATACTGCCTAACCTTGGTTTATGCACATACCAGGCTCTGCTACATGATATCCCTTCCTGCTCTCATGCACAACCTTGGGTGCTGCGGCTTGGCTCAACTCTCACATATGCCAACAAGTGCCACCACCTTGTCCAGCCTGGCCTTTCCCAGTCCTCATTCTTGTGCTCAGCCTACTAGGGTATTTCCCACTGTTTCCCTGTTATGCCTGTTCATACATAGCCCCAAATCTTAAGCCTGCCAGTGGGTACTGTGGTACAGCCCAACATGACTCAACACCCAATCCCAGCACTTTACCTACTGAGGCTATGGCCTAGTTCAGCTAGCCCACACCTGTCCTGGCTCTCTTGAGTGTTCAGGTGCAGCAGCCTATGCCAGCCTGACCCAACTCCAGTTCTGGCTCTCATAGTAACCAGTGGAAGCAACAACCCAGCAAGGGAGTTCCTAAAATTCCCCTACCAGGCCAACTCATAGCCCTTGGTGTTGGCGTTTGCCAGCAGATGCTGCAACCCAGTCTCAAATTGCCAACCCCCAGGCTATGCTGACACCCCATACCTGCCAATGAATGGAGCAGTGTTGTCTGATCTAGTCCATAAAGTTCCCCCATCATGCTGCCTCAGACCCAGTTCTCAGGTGTATTAGCAAGTGCTAGGACCCTCAAAAGTGTAGTCCACCCCCACGCCAGTCTCAGCTTTTATGAGTGCTAGTGAATGCTGCAGCCTGTGCCAGTCCATCCTCCTTGGCATCCCAGTTCCCATGAGTATTGATGAGTTCCATGGTCACGACTAGCTTGGCCCAGTTCTCCACAAACCAACTAGTATTGTCCACAAATTCCCCAAACAACCTGCCAGTTCTTTTGTGTGCTGGTCAGTGTCATGGCCCAGGCTAACAGGGCACCCCTTGCCTCAACACTCACTCGTGGCACTGGATCTTAATTCTTCTAGACAGGTCTCCTAGCCCTAGCTTTGTTGTGTGCCATTGGGCTGTAATAATTGCCAGCTAGCCCAGCCCAAGTATAACACATGTGGGTGGGTGTCCTGGTCTGACCCAGAAGCATCCTCCGGCTTCCTGCCCTCCAAACCACCCAGTGTCAACCACCTCATTTACCCGTAATTACGTGGTCCCGTCTGTGAAAGTCCCCAGAAATCATTCCTCACCTGTGATTTACTTCTCTCGGTCCACCTTCCCACATCCCCAAATCCACTCCCCAGGGCAGTCCACAGACACCACGTCCATGGCTCTAGCGCAGCCCCAGGCCTGGTCTCCTGGCATCATGGCATGCCTGCCCTTTAGGTTCTGATGTAACCTGTGTCATAGCTTCATTGGGCTAGATCCTTTGTGAATGTAAGTAGATTTTACATAAAGAAGTTATCCTAGTCAAGATATGTTGGGTTTTATTTAGTGAAATGGAAGACATTTTCACATTAATTTGTTCTTTTACATTCAGAATCCTTTATTTCATTCAGTTTGAAATAACTGACTTGATACATAGAAAACAAATAGTGATTGGGAGGAAATGACAGGTGTCGATTGTTCATTGTAGGGAGAGGTGGCGAGACAATTCGTTCCATCTGTAAGGCCTCTGGAGCTAAGATTACCTGTGACAAAGAATCAGAGGGGACGTTACTACTATCAAGACTCATAAAAATCTCAGGAACCCAAAAGGAAGTGGCAGCAGCCAAGGTAAGGAAATGGGTAGGATTGCACTGCTACCTGGGAAAGAGAATAATCCTTTACTCAACCGTAGCTGGTGCGTGACATCCTTTCTTTTATTTGCCACAGCATTTGATACTAGAGAAAGTGTCTGAAGACGAAGAGCTCCGAAAAAGAATTGCCCATTCTGCAGAAACCAGAGTCCCACGCAAGCAGCCAATCAGTGTGAAGAGAGAGGAAGTGGCAGAGCCTGGAGGAGGGGGCGATTTGGCATTGTGGAGAAACACTGGTTCTAGCATGGGGGAGCTGGCGCCCCTGGAGGTTGCTCCCTACAAAGGAGGTGTTGACATTGATGATGTGGGGCCACAAGAGAGTTCCTCGGAGAACCCCAGTGATGACAGCTTAAAGAACAGTGCAGACCAGACCAGTCCAGAGACATCCATGTTTCAAAGTATGTAACCTAGAAGGACCCTTGTCAAACCATATGACAGAGAGGATTTCTGGCTCACGTGACATAAGATAGGAAGCAAATATTTCTGTTTATGGCTGTACGTCTAAGTGTATCTTCAAATATGCCTTTATGGTAATATTTGGTTTCAACTAAATGGGCATACTAACAAATTTCTCTGAATACAGAGTGGTAATTGATGATGATGGAAACTGAAATGGAGCTAGGCAGACACTGGAAACCGGTCTTCCATACATCCATTAAATTTTTTTTCTTATTTGAGCAATAGAACTAGAGGGCAAGAGAGATCTTTCAGCCACTGGTTCACAATGCAGGCCACACAGCCAGGCATCCATATACAGAGTGCAGGCTGGGACAGGGACTTATCCAGGCTCCCATAATCACTCAGTGGTAGAATGGGATATGAAACCAGGCCCGGGTGAAGTAGATGAAGAATCTATCACTGATAGAAATACATGGTGTTTGAGTGACAAAGTAAAATGTTTGCTGTTACTGGTTTGGTAGCCATTTTTCTGCATTATCTTGTATGATTTGTACAGTTTTCTTTCTAGACATTTCTAAAATGATTTCAACAGTCACTCAGCACTGTCGTCCCCAGTGCAGCCTCCCTGTCCCGTTACAACTAGAGGTGATTGTAACGGAGCTGCTTCTTTCTCCCTGTATTCAGTTCCCAGTCCTGACTTCAGCTTCCATGCGGATGAGTACCTGGAAGTCTACGTCTCGGCCTCTGAACACCCAAACCATTTTTGGATCCAAATCCTTGGATCCAGGATGCTGATGTTGGATAAGCTTATCACTGAGATGACACAGTATTATGAGAACAACACAGTAAGTTGCATCATGACAGGCTGTGTGTTGCTAAGAAATTTCATTGTTAGCTTATTTTCCTATAGGACAGCTACATGTGTTTTCTTCCTTTGCTAATCTTTTTGTATTTTGGGGTTTTTTTTAATATTTTATATATATAAATATTTTTAAAGACTTCTTTTATTGGAAAGGCAGATTTACAGAGAAAGAGAGACAGGGAGATCTTTCATCTGTTCACTCCCCAAATGACATAACAGCCAGAGCTGAACCAATCCATAGCCAGGAACTGGGAGCTGCTTCTGGGTCTCCTGCTTTGGGCTGTCCTCTACTGCTTTCCCAGGCCACAGGCAGAGAGCTGGATGACATGGGAAGTAGAGCAGCCAGGACACAATCCAGCACCTACATGGGGTCCTGGCAGTTGCAAGGCAAAGATTTAGCCACTAGGCGATCAAACCAGGCTCAATAAATCTTCTGCTTCATAACGATCTCTCTTCCTTATAGACCGGGGAGTTTACAGTGAAACTGGGGGACATCGTAGCAGCACCATTACATGCATGTCGCACCTGGTATCGAGCCCGGATTGATGGCATTTTGGAGAATGGGGAATATGACCTCTACTTTGTTGACTTTGGAGATAATGCAGATTTCCCACTGTCGGAACTCCGGCCTCTCAGGTCAGTGTGGGGGCCAGGGTGGAATAGACTTTTAACTTTGCTTTGGCCATTGAGTAAAATGATCTGTTGGATGAGCATCTTCTCATGCTGGATAATGTTGTTCTGTCTGAAAGCTGAAAATACAAGAAGGTCTTTCTGGCCCTATGAACTTTGTCTTTTGTACTGGTGAGACCGAGCTATCGACTGCTTCATTCCCTGAGTGTCTACAACGTGCAGAGTTTAACCAGGCTACCTAAACCAGCAGCCTAGGATTGAATCTGGTTTTCCCACATTGGTGGCAGACACTTGAGCCGACACCTGCCTTCCAGCATGCGTATGAGTAGGAAGCTCCAATCTGGACCCCATGTAGGATTTGGACTCAGGTTCCCATAGAGGATGTGGGGGGTCCCAAATGGCAGTGTCTTAACTGCTATGCCATGCCCCACCCCTAGGATTCTAACTTTCACTTTCTAACTTTTCACTTTAGGAGTGATTTCCTGAGTCTGCCATTCCAAGCGATAGAATGTAGTTTGGCAGGGATTGGCCCCGCAGGTAAGTCAATCATACTGCTTCTTAACCTTGTCACTAAATGTAAAATTTGAACTTTTATACAGCATGTGGAAGTCTCTTCATCCTTTTAAGATTGATTTGTTTGAAAAGGCCCGAAGTGATAGCCTGGTTGCTTAAGTCCTCACCCTCATGGGAGACCTGAAAGCTCCTAGCTCCTGGCTTTGGATAGGCTCAGCTGCAGCTGTTGTAACCGCTTGGGGTGAATCAGTGGATGGAAGATCTTCCTCTCTCCTCCTCTCTGTTTATCTGCCTTTCCAATAAAAATAATTTTTTTAAGGCAGAGTTAAAGGATGACAGAGAAAGGAAAAAAGGTCTTCCATCTGCTGGTCTGCTGTGGGCAGACCAAAGCCAAGAGCATGTTCTAGGTCTTCCATATGGGTGATAGGGACCCAAGCACTTGGGCCATCCTCTGCTGCTTTCCTAGGCCATTAGCAGGGAGCAGGATCAGAAGAGGAGTAGCTGGGACTCAAACTGGCATCCATCTGAGATGCTGATACTGCAAGTAGAGGCTTAAATTGCTATGCCACAGCACTGGTTCCCTACCCATTGCAACTTTAGAAGGCAGACAGAAGTTTGTCAGGAAGTGGGTTCCAGCTCCCACCAGAGAAGCCAGTGTTGACTTCCAGAATAGAAGTGGTAGCTCCTCCAGGGCATAGCCCCTACCCTTCTGAACCAACCCTATTTCAATCTGTTGCCAGGTGGAGAATGGGAGGAAGAAGCTTTGGATGAGTTTGACAGACTTACCTACTGTGCTGAATGGAAGCCCCTAGTGGCCAAGATTTCTAGCTATGTCCAGTCTGGCACGGACACTTTGCCGAAGATCTACCTTTATGATACTAGCCTCGGCATGGTAAGATGGGAATTCATTCGCACTGTTCACTGTAGTTTATAATCGTTGCCTTATCTTTCCCAGAAATCTTTGACTACTATGGAAGATGTTGGTCATTGTCCCACCTAAGGGACATCTTTAAAGTATCCCAGCTTTTCTGTTTCTTCAAATTTTCCCTTATGAAAAGAACATTCCCTTTTCCATTTTTTTTCTTTTCAGGATGTTGATATTGGGTACCAATTAGTTTGTAAAGGATATGCAGTTGAGCTTCCTGAAGACAGGGAAGAAGACAGGGATGGGGTAAGTGACCAACACAGACATTTCAGGTCTTGAAAACGACATGCTCAGGTTCCGCGATGGCTCAGCTGGCTCATCCCATGGGTGCCAGGTCGTGACCCAGTGGCTCCATTCTGACTGTCCTCTTTAAATCTGTCTTTTAAATAAAAAACAATGTTAAACATGTTTGCATGCTACAGGGCTTCTAGTCATGAACTTGGTTAGCTATCCTGAATTCGTGGTTCTACTCCACTAACTGATCAAAACAGGCAGCCTGGCCCCTTTCAGCACCCAATCAGCTGCTTTTCTCAATCCGTGAGCAAAAGACAGGGTTACCACCTACTTTCCCAGTTACCAATGCATCTTCTGGTTTTTACCCCAGCAGGCCACAGAAACGTATGTCTCTGGGAGCGTGGTCACAGATACCAGGAAGAGCCCTGGTGAGATGGCACACACCCTCTCCTGCCTCAGCATTTCAGGTGCGGCAGCATCTCTCTAGCACATCATTGCTCTCGGAAGCTGAAGGCTCAGTCCTTGGGTGCCAGGATAACCACTTTTTTTCCTGGGCCTTGCCTGCAGTGCCTGCTGGAGTAGGGTAACATCTTATTTCTGCCCAACAGAAGCGGCCTCTATGACTGGTGACGATAACCTGGAAGAGAACGACTTGCTGTGAAGTCCAGGCTTCAGCTGGCTCAACCATCTCCCAGCTTTGCGAGTGGAGCTGTCCTCTAGCCACTGGAAGCAGGGGCCTTGCCTTATCAACCACCACCACTTCTCCTCAATTTGCATTAAGCTCTTTCAAGCCCCATGTCTCTTTTTGGCAGAGTCTGGTGTCTGGAGAAGGAGTCTATGATGGAGAGATCTAGGCGGTCTGTCCTCAATTTCACAGGCATTCTGGCTTGCTGTGGAGCATTTTCTCCTTCCTTTGGACTACAGAGGGAGGCAAAGCATCCCCTCCCCTTACCCACCCCTCAGTGATGATGGATGTACTGCTTCCAGACCCTTCCATGTTAGGCTCCATCCGTCTGCCAGCTGTAATGTGCATTCCTGCAGGGCTGAGAAACGGCCAGGTTTAGTCAGTGGAAGTAATGCTTCTGCAGCCGTCTGACTCACCCTAGCAGGTGATTGGTCAGTGGCAAACCAAAAACCTGAGGGACTCAACCTGTGCTTGAGTCAGTTAAGGCCACAATCAGCGTGATCCTATGAAAAAGCTTCAGGAAGTAAAAGTACCACCTCACAGCTTCAATTGCTGATGCTGAGAAAGATTTTGAAATAGTGTGTCAGCTATTTCTCTGCAGAGTTTAGTTAGGAGAGAAGAAACTCAGGAAATAGTCAACGATTGTTAGCACAGTGCCTGTGTGAATATTTGTACACCCAGAAAACTTTATATACTTCTGTTAACATTATTTGGGGAATTCTTTATTGAATAAAGATTTCAAAAAACTCAGCTGAAGCCAAGTGTTGATTTAATTACAAGGTGGTGTTGTGGGTGCTTTGTATTTACATGAGTGAATTTCTGACTTTGAAGAGAGAAACGTGCTAAGTGTGATTGTGCTTGCAAAGGTAAGATTTGTTGGAAGGTGGAAGCAGGCCATATTATCAGTCTGATATTTATCTTATTTTAAAAGATTTATTCATTTTTATCAGAAAGTCAAATATACAGAAAGAGATGGGAGATCTTCCATCTGCTGATTAACTCTCCCAAGGGGCTACAACGGCCAGAGCTGTGCCGACCGAGAGCTTGGAGCTTCTTTCAGGTCTCCCATTGGGTGCAGGGTCCCAAGGCTTTGGGCCGTCTTCAGATGCTTTTCCAGGCCATAAACAGGGAGCTGGGTGGGAAGCAATGTCACCTGGGCATGAACTGGCTACTAGGCTATGACACCACGCCCAATATGTATCTTCTAAATCCCACCAACCATCTCATGATGGTGTTCACAGGTGTCCCTCCCATCTCCACATATATTTTTACTATTGTTTATGTAGTTCAGAACAATGCATATCCATGTGGGCCTCCGATTAGGGTGGGGAGGGTCAAGATACGGAGGAAGGTGGGTGGGATAATTTTTTCATCAGCACCTGGGGCTGAGGGGATAGTCCTTTGACATCTTGGAGACCCTGATATAAAGTGTTCCAAGGGTTTTACATAAGTGGTTTTGGTAGTTCTGAGACATCACTGGGATAATTGCAGCAAGGTTGAGAAAATATTTCCAAGGTCTATTGGAGTCCACCTGTACATTCATAGACCAGACACTTGCTGCAAAGCTTGGCCAAGAGTTGTCCTGGTTTCTGTTCTTTGATGAGGCATTTGTCCTCTGCTGGTCTGGATGAGCTGCACAGATAGCAATTGAGGAGCCCCAGTTATGATACGTACATTCCAAGGTTGGACGATACAGTGATTTTCCCTGTGGTAAGAGTTTGCATCCTACTGTCTAAATGAGGAGTCAGTCCCTCAAGAACCCTCACCTGGGGTGACCTGTGTGCCCACTGATGTGGGTTTAAGTTCAACCTGTCATCTGCATCAGCCAACACACAATGCAGGTAGATGCAGCTGTCCCGGCGGCTGCATGCTCTCGTATGAACCAGTGGGTGCTATAGCTTTGCTCACCCCAACCTGCCACAGGCATGATCTTGACACATACCCAGGGAATGCTGTGGCCTAGTCAGAGCAACCTGAAATAGCTCCACCAGGCCAACCCCAAGCCCTGGGTTTTTGTACCAGCATGATCTGTGGCCTAGCCCAGTCTGCCTTCCGTCCCACCTGACTCGTGCATGCCCATGGGTGCTGTGGCTTAGCTCAGCCCAACCTGCCCCCCATACCTAGTCCACACATGCCAACTGGCACTGCTGCCTTGTCTAGCCTGGCCCACCCCAGCCCAGGTTCTTGTGCTCACCAGCGAGAGGTACAGTCCAGCAGAGAAGTGCCCCACTGTTTCCTTGCGAGGCTTAACCGAACCCCAGATCTTGTGTTTGCCAGGGCTTACTGTGGTCTGGCATGATATAATTCCCACCCAGTCCTGGCACTCGCCAGCTGGTGTGCCAGCCTAGCCAGCCTAGCTCACCCCCAGCCCCTCATGTGGACTTGGTGTGTATTGTCCAACTCAGCCTGTGCTGCATCCTGTCCTGAGTGTTTCATGCCAGTGTGTGCTGTGGACTGACCCTGCTGGCCTGTCCCCCAGACCCGGCTCACATGTGTGCTCACTGGTGCTGTAGCCCAGCCTAGCCTGTCCTGCTCCTAGCCCTGGCTCTCAAACGCACCAGCAGGACCTATAGGCTAGCAGGGAGTTCCCCATGTTCCCCCATCAGGCCCACTTCCAGCCTTAGGTCTTGGCCGTATTATCAGTCAGTGCCCAGCCTGACGTGGCCTGTCCCAAGTCCTGGCATTCACCAGCAGGTATTGCAGCCTAGTCCAACTGGGTCACAGCCATTCCAACTCCACAAGCACCAGTGGGTGATGGGGCCTAACTCAGTCTGGCTGCTCCCAGAACCATCCCACATGCATGCTGACTGGTGCTGCAGCCTTGCCCAACCTACTCTGCCCCCAACCCTAGCTCTTGCACTCACCAGTGGGAGCTGCAGCCCAATAGGAGAGTCCCCAGAGTTTCTCTACCAGGCCCATTCCCAGCCTCAAATCTTACACAGGGCAGTGGTTTGATCCAGCCTGGCATGCCTGCTCCATCTCAGCTTTCACTGATGGGTGTTCTAGCCTAGCCTAGCAGCAAATGGCTCACACCCCTATTGGCTCCCACATGTGCCAGCAGGTACTGTGGCCTGTCCTGTCCTGTCCTGTCCCCAAACTCAAGCCACACAAGTGCCTAGGAGTACTGCAGCCTTGCCTGGACTGACCCACCCTTAGTCCTGGCTTTTGCACGCCCCAGTGAGAGCTGCAGCCTAGCAGGGCAGTTCTTCAAGTTTCCCTACCAGCCCCAGATCTCACATGCCAGTGGATGCTGTGGCCCTGCTTGGCATGGTCCCTCAGTCCCTGCGTTTGCATGTGATGGCAGGTGATGCAGCCCAGCCTAGCCCAGCCTCCTCCCAGCCTAGGCTCCTATGAATGTCAGGTGAGTTCTATGGTCCAACCTGGCTCAGCCCATCTCCACATCTCAGCTCTCACAGAAACCATCCGGTATTACAGTCCCACTAGGTGAGCCCACAAATCTACATAATCTGCCCAAATCCGGTTCTATCACGTTCTGGTGGGTGTTGCAACCCAACCTGACATGGCCCAACTCCCTGCTCTGCCACTTGTGGGTGGCTATTGCAGCCTAACCCAGCCAGGTATGTCCACCAGCCTCAGTTTTCACATGAACTGGCAGGCAGGCAGAAGACAATGCTACTTCCCAGCCAGGTCTGTGTGTGGGCCAGTACCTTGGTCTGACTCAGACATGACTTCCGGTTTCCCCTTCTAAATCATCCCATCTCAGCTCCCTCACCTACCTGAGAGTACAGAGGCCTGGTATGTGGAAGCCCACAAAAGTTTCTTCTCTTGTCAAATATGCCCCCAGCAGCCACCTCTCTAATACATCCATGGACCTCTTCCCTCTGCAGCCACCACCCCTGGGGCACATCCCAGCCTGGTGTCCCCCATCTTCCTTTGATAGCTTGAAAAAATAAATAAAAGAAAAAAATAATAGGCCACTATGTTGGCATGCTGGCATAGTTATCACAGATTTGGCATTATCCAGTCCCAGAGTGCCCACCAGCTACTGGTTGCTTTTCTCCCAGCAGTGTTAACACCTACATGGCTACAAAGGAACCTAGGCAGTTGCCTACAGCTGCGGTAAAGGCACTTTTTGTTTTAAGATTTTTTTTTAATTGGAAAGTCAGATTTACAGAGAGAAAGAGAGAAATATAAGGGAAGCCTTTTGTGGGTCATGACTTTTTTTTTTTTACTTTTATTATTATTTGTTTTATGATACACTACTATAGGCCCTGGGATTTTTCTTACTCCTTCCCCAAATTCCCTCCTCCCCACTGAGTTTCCTTATTTTTTTTTAAGATTTTTTAAAAAGATTTATTTTATTTATTGGAAAGTCAAATATACAGAGAGGAGAAAACAGAGAGGAAGATCTTCCATCCAATGGTTCACTCCCCAAGTGACCACAATGGCCAGTGCTGTGCTGATCCGGAGCCAGGAGCCAGGAGCCAGGAACTTCCTCCAGGTCTCCCACGCGGGTACAGGGTCCCAAGACTTTGTGTCATTCTCAACTGCTTTCCCAGGCCACAGGCAGGGAGCTGGCCGGGAAGTGGAGCTGCAAGGATTAGAACTGACGCCCATATGGGATCTTGGTGTGGTCAAGGAGAAGACTTTAACCACTAGGCCATTGCACCAAGCCTGGGTTTTGTTTTGTTTTTTAATCCAGTCTACTTATCTATGACTTTTGATTGATGAGTTTAATCCATTTACATTCAGGGTTAATAGGAATAGATGGTAATTTGGTCCTGTCATTTTAGTAATTGGTTGTTCATTAATTTAGTCTTCTGTTGTTATTTTACTGGAATGTTCTTTGCATTTGCCTTTGGTTTTGGTGGGTGTTATTCCTGTTCCTTGTCAAGAGAATATCTTTTAAGTATCCTTTGTAAGTCAGATTGGAAGAGGCATATTCTTTTAACTTTTTTTTACTGTGGAAGAATTTTATTTCATTTTCAAACAAAAAGGAGGACCTGGCACAATGGCCTAGTACCTAAAATCCTTGTCTTGCACACTCTGGGATCCAATATGGGTGCCAGTTCAAATTCTGTCAACTCCACTTCCTTTCTAGCTCCCTACCTGTGGCCTGGGAAAGCAGTCGAGGACGGTCCAAAGCCTTGGGACCCTGCACCCAAGTGGGAGACCTGGAGGAAGTTCTTGGCTTCTGGCTTCAGATGGGCTTAGCTCCGGCCATTGCAGTCACTTGGGGAGTGAACCATCGGATGGAAGATTTTTCTGTCTCTCCTCCTCTCTGTATATCTGACTTTGTGATAAAAATAAAAAAACAAAGAATCTGGAATGTTGCTCCATTCTCTTCTGGCCTGTAGAGTTTCCTGTGAGAGGTCACCTGTGAATTTAACTGACATTCCTTTATATGTCAACTGATTTTTTTTTCACATGCACATTTAAGGATCTTTTCTTTATGTCCGATTGGAGAGAGCTTGATTATTATGTGTCATAGTGAAGATCACTTTTGGTCAACCTTTTTGGAGTTCTGTGCCTCTCCTAGACGTTGTTCCTAATTCTTTCTCTAGATTAGGGAAATTTTCCCTTATTATTTCATTGAATACAACTTCAATCCCAGTTTCTCTTTCTGTACCTTCTGGGACTCACGTAACTGTTATATTTGGCCTTTTAATAGTGTCTCTTAATTCTTGAATACTTTTTTTTTTTTTTTGGCCTGATCCAGCTCTGCTTCCAGCTTTTTGTTTGTTTCCCCCTGGTGACAGGAAATATCTTCCAATGCTGAGATTCTTTCTGCTTCATTCATCTCTTTGGGACACTCTCTACTGTACTTTTCATTTGCTCCACTGTATTCTTCATTTTTGATGTATCAGCTTTCATTTGATTCATTTCCTATGTGACATATTCCTTAAATTTCTTGAACTCCTGTATTACATGCTTCTTATTGTTTATAAGAAGCTTTATAACGGGCCCGGCGGCGTGGCCTAGCTGCTAAAGTCCTCACCTTGAACGTGCCGGGATCCCATACGGGCTCTGGTTCTAATCCCAGCAGCTCCACTTCCCATCCAGCTCCCTGCTTGTGGCCTGGGAAAGCAGTCGAGGATGACGCAAAGCTTTGGGACCCTGCACCCATGTGGGATACCCAGAAGAAGTTCCTGGATCCTGGCTTCGGATCGGCATAGCACCGGCCGTTGCACTTACTAGAGGAGTGAATCATCGGACGCAAGATCTTCCTCTCTGTCTCTCCTCCTCTCTGTATATCTGACTTTCCAATAAATAAACAAATCTTAAGAAAAAAAAGAAGCTTTGTAACAAGCATTTTGAATTCTGTATCTCCCATTTTCTCGATGTATTCCTCAGTTAACTCTGAGGTTGGCAAAGGCTTTTGCTTCTTTGCAGGGGAGTCTTCAGTAATATTCATTGTGCCTTTGTCTCCTCTTTTGCTCTTGATTATTGTACTTCTGGTTAGCAGATTCTTCTCCTTGGGGCAGGTTTCTAAGCTGTGTCACCCACAGGTCTACAGTTCAATTTTACTGATTGCAGTTGGTATATTGCTCTTTGTTTGTAGTTACTTGTGCCACTCCCTCCAGCAAGTTCCAGGTCTGGGTTCCTTTGTTAGATTTCCACCATGGTCTCCATAGCCCCAGCTCCTAACTTACCTCTCTCTACCTGCTGTGATTCCGAACCGAGGCTGCACCATTGTCTATACAAACTTTCTCCCACTTGCAGTTGGAGCAGGTCCTAGGACTAGGGACACACCAGGAATTCTATAGAGCTAGGTTGTTGGTGGTGCTGATCTTTCGAGAACCTGTTTGCCGTTAGGTCTGGGGGCCACATGGACCTCAGTGCCAATTTGACCACTACAATGCCAAAGTTGGTATTATTTTCCTGTGGGACCAGTGCAATACACTGAGTTCAGTGAGTTCACTCCCAGCTCAGCACCTATTTAGCTCACTGTTGTCCCTGCAGTCTTTTAAGTTTTTGCCACCCTGCACAAAATAGTGTCTAATGTGCCAGTACTAGAGTTCTTGATCTGCTGGCCCTCAGGTCCAAGGGCTACCTACACGTGTCTTGGGTAGGACCTGTAGGATGCCACATTGTTGTACTTCACTGAGCCAGAAATGAATTCACTCACTCTCAGTTAAATGCATGTGCAGTCCAGTCCCATAGCCTTTGTCTCCTTACACAAAATGGGGCCCTATATGGCTCTATGGGGTAGACTGGGCTGTGAAAAATCACTCTGTTCCCACACTGCCCCTCTGGGACCTGACACTCTGTCTACTCCTGGTCAAATCAAACAGACCAGCGGGATGGGTAGTTCTTTCTCTGGGTTCACCTCCTGAGCTCCCAGTGAATGTCCCTTCCCAACTTGTTGCTGGTGGAGTTCTGGCTGCTGGTTCAGATTGCCACTTGCTGAATGCCACTGGGGTGTTGGTAACTACAACACCACACCGTTGTGTCAGCTGCTTTCCTGTGTCTGTCAGTCTCCAGGTGCCCCTCTGCTGTTGTTCTGTCCTCTCTTATTTCCTGGACTGTGCCCTCTCTGCTTCACACTGGCTAATGTTTCTCTGTCTGTTCAAATGTGTCCTTACCCTATTCTGCCATCTTGATTCTATTTTTTTTTAATTTTTATTTTTATTGGAAAGTGGGATATGCAGAGAGGAGAGACAAAAACGGTCTTCCATCAGTTGTTTCATTTCCCAGATGGCCGCAACAGCCAGAGCTGTGCTGATCAAAAGCCAGAAGCCAGGAGCCTCTTCCGGGTCTCCCCCATGGGTACAGTGTCCCAAGGCTTTGAGCCATCCTCAAATGCTTTCCCAGGCCACAAGCAGGGAGCTGGATGGGAAGCAGGGCCACCAGGACACAAACCAGTGCCCATATGGGATCTGATCACATGAAACACAAGGACTTTAGCTTTTAGGCTACACTTGGTGCCCTCTTTCCTTTTTTACTTTGAAAGTTATAGACGGATTTTCCATCCACTGGCTCACTGCCGCATTCCACAAATGGTTGATGCAAAGGCAGGAGCCAGGAGCTTCCCTGGATATCCCGTGTGGGTGTAGCGGCCCAAGGACCCCCAGCCACCCTCCACTGCCCTTAACTCATTCAGGCTGCAAGCAAGGAGTTGGATCAAAAACAGAAATGGAGTAGCCAGGACTTTTTTTTTTTTTTTGAAGGATTTCTTTTTATTGCAAAGTCAGATATAGAGGAGAGACAGAAAGATCTTCCATCTGCTAATCCACTTCCCAAGTGGTCACAATGTTCGGAGCTGAATCAATCCAAAGCCAGGACTACCCAGAGTTTCTGGGTCTCCCATGTGGGTGCAGGGTCCCAAGGCTTTGGGCCGTCTTTGACAGTTTTCCTAGGCCACAAGCAGGGAGTTGGATTGGTAGTGGGGCAGCCGGGATTAGACCCAGTACCCATATGGTATCCCAGTGCACATGCTAGATGATGACTTTAGCGACTAGACTATTGTGCTAGGCCTGTATAGTTTTTTTCCTTGGAATATCTTCTCTACCCCCATCCCTATATAAACAACTTAATGAACTCTGAAAAAATGGTGTCTCATTCCTACCTTGCATTTGTTAGGGGGCTTTTCAGTCTCAGAGTTTACATCCTATTCTGATGGGTTCCGCTACAGCCCAGGACATTTTCGCTTGTCTAAATCAACCTGTGCTCTATTAGCCCTTCCCCTTGGGTGGAGGGACCTAATGTATTTTGAATTCTAAGAAATTCGTGCTTAACTCCAACTTACAGTGCAATACATGGATGAAACATAGGGCTTAATCTTCATTAAACTCCCTATTTGATTGATCCTTACCTTGGTGGGTATTCAGTAAATGGTTTGGGGGTATGGAAGGCCAAGGGAGGCTAACATCCAACCCATCCCTCTCTGCTTCAGTTCCCTCTGATGATGTCACTCTTTGTCCTACAATGAGTTCAGTTCTGTCAGGTTCCCCACTCCAGACAACGACCCTCTCTCCCAAAAGGAACACAGAACACTCAGTGATTGCACTATCTTTTATTCCTAGGATGGACAGAGGTGTCCACGATCACATCCTGGGCCCCTGATTCCAATGTGTCAAGGCTTGCAGCCCCTCACATAGTTGGAGTAAGGGTGCTTAGGGAGGGTCACCGGGCAGGTGGTCAAGGTCCCTTTCAAGGAGATACACCATAAAGATGACATTGTCCCAGGGAGGGAGGGCAGGGTGGTCTGGTCTGACCAACTCAAAGCCCATGTAGCTGAAGGCCCGCAACAGGGCTCCTGTAAAGGAAGAAAACATCATTAGTATACTCTCAGTGTGTGAAACTCCCCACTAACCAGCTCCAGTCTAGCTTCTTCCTGTACCCCAGGCATTCAGATTTGAGCCTGAGGGAAGCAGACCTAGATCGAAACCTCTGTGTAGCACATGCTTCAAGTTCAACTTGGGATCTTCGGTTTTAACATTTGTAAAAATGGGAATCGAGAGCTTCTTCACAGACTGTTTTAACATCAAATGTGTTGTCTATAAAGTGCGAAGCACAATGACAGAGCAGTAAACTCTGAGATAGTGTCTATTAAGAATGATTGTTACTCATGCTTTGTCCTGAATCCAACAGAAACTTAAGGGAAGGAGGCTATAGTTTCTATCCATGCGCCAATCATCTGCGTAATATGTCACTATCCTGACCTCATACTACACTTTCACATTACACTGTAGGTGCTTGATGCACTCCGACCTCATTCCTGACATGGGTTTTGTGACATCTCACCCAGGCTCCTCCGTCTGACTTGACCCTCCCTGCAGGACCTTCCTGCCAGTTCAGGTATGACTTCATGGAGAAGAAATCTAGGTGCCCTGATTTTCTTTTTGAGAGAGAAGAAAATCCCTAAGTGTCCTAAAAAAGTAGGAGTAAGAGGGACTCCTGCGAAGGGAAGGGAGCCACTATCCGCCAAAGCACCAACAGCCAGAAACGACAGCAGGTCACCACCTCTGTCCTGCCGGTTGATTGGGAAGTTCACAAACACGGAGTCCACATTGGTCTTCTCCTCCACGTACTCCAGAGTTGCCGACAAACTAGGGGCGGGAGAGGAAAACACTTTGAGTGGAAGGTTCAGTCAGCTCAGAATGCATGGAGATTCCCACTTGCCCACCCCTCAAGCCAGGGAAAGCTGCTGAACTAGCCTAGGTAAACACTGGTGACACTGAGGAGAAAGGGGCTAATTCTGCTGAGGTCAACACTCCCCGTTATCTGGGTGGGCAAAGTCCTGGGAGCTCTCATCTCTTCCACCTCACCCTGAATGGCTCCAGCTCCTGTATCAGCCTCTCCCACTCAGGGCAACTTGAAATGCTCCACCTCCTCTACCTTCCCCACACTTGCCCATCCGGGCCTCAGCTACCTTTCTCTGTTGCCTTGGTCCAAAGCCTGGTATGGGATATCCAGGAAGAGTCGGTGATCACAGAGAAGGCCGTGCCAGTGGGCAGAGGTCTGAGGGGTGAGGCGGAAATGGAAGTCTAATTGTACTTGATCCTGGTGGAGCAGGGGGTCAGTTGTAAGCACTGTCAGGTTCCCAGCCTGAAAAGAGGGAAAAGGAGAATGATGACATTTGTCCCTCCTGCCCACCCAGCCATGGGACCTGAGCTTCAGCTCTCTGGGTGAGAATCCTTGTCTGTAGCCCAAGTGGCTTTTACATGTGAGCTTTGACATCTCGTCTACAACTCCCATGATTTGCTTTCCCTCTTCGGCGAGGTGCCATTCCACGAGCCAGGGCGTTACCCTGTCACGGCACAGGCTCACAATCCACTTACTGAGTACAGTTCTTGAAGCTGGTCGTGGTCTTGTCCCTGCTCAGTGCGCCTGCTCCCCTGGAGACCCGCTCGGGACTCAGGAGCACTGGAGGCAGCAGCGGGGCCGCAGTGTCAAGTCCTCCTCTTCCTTATAGGTGATGCTGGTGGAGAGAGAGAGAGAGACCCAAGTCGGTGGAACCCAGAGTCCGAGCTGGGGAGAGATGTAGAACCCCTAGGCCCCAGCTCTGTGTTTTTTATTGGCCAGTCTGTTCCCTCTCCCCACCCCAGCCAGCTTTCCACTCTATCTGGCCATTGTCATTTCTTGCCCCTTGGAAAGTTCTTTAGATTTTTTTTTTTTTTCTGATGAGTTTTCATAGGCAAGAACCAATAGAGATGAAAGCAAGTACCTTTTACAACACCAAGGCAGCATCTTCTCCCGGAGGGTGATCCGGTATTTGTAACAGTAAAGGTAGTAGGCGTATGGTGACCAGAACGGGTAGAGGTAGTTCCGTGTTCGTCCCCTCTTGATATAAGAGAGGGAGTAGAGAGAGGGGCGCAGCCTGTTGCAAGGCAGTTTCTCTGTTCAGTGCCTCCCTGCGGCAAAGTGAGGTTCAGAGCTGGGCGTCAGGGGATCAAGCAGTCTGGCCCCATTGTGACTTGGTGGGGGCACTGTGACATCACCCAGGTGTCACACGTGTGTCACTTCAGCTTACCCCTCTGCTGCTCACCTGCCCCGCCCTACTTGGTAACCGAGGCTCAGAATCAACCAGTGGCTATGAGACTTTCAAACTTCTAGTTGACAAATAGCCCTGCTTGATCAGTTTTTGTGCCCATCTACTCAGGCCCTTCTTCTGGGACACACTTCCCCCTAAACTCCAGCCCCTAAAAAGATGGTGTTAGACACTGTCGGAGGTTGCCAGGGCTTTGACTGACCCAACATTGACTTGATAAGTCGTTTCCCATTCCAATCCAATGTTTTTTCTCGTTATCCCTCCTCTGAAAACTTCAGGAGTGCTACAGATTGTAGAACTTCTCCACTCCCTTGTAGGACAGGAATTACAAACTAAATATTGCCAGGGACCTGGACCATTAATAGGAATGAGTGGGTCTGTAGGTGGCGCTGTAACAAAATGGAAAGCACGCACTTGTCTAAAGGAAGCTACACACAAGTAACACGTAGGAATGCCTACTCAAGGATGCTGGATGCTGTCACTGTCCAACAGAAAGGAAGAAATGATAAAGACAGGGTGTGTGGGACATTCCTTTAGCTTTTAAGAAACATACCAACTACTAACAAAAATTTAAATGATGGGGAAAAAAGTAACACTTGTGAACACAATTTGGTTCAGGAGTTTGAGACCTCTGCATATTTATTTACATTCAAAGAGTATTGACTGAGGGCTTCTATGAGCAAGGCACTTCCTATGGGGATGCATCAGGGGACAGAACAAAGAGCTTGGCCCTTTTAAAGGCCAGAGGGAAAAACCTAGAAGAGATGTGATTCATGTGCGTAAGCCAAAATACACTTCCCTGGGAGAGAAAGAGGAGTGTGATGGGACACAGCAAGATGGCTGCATGTCAAACACCTGAGAAGAGGAGATGGTGACTAGGCCATGGTGTGGGGAAAGGATCATTCTCCTGAGAAGCAAAAGCCTGAAGTGGGAATTGTATCCCGTGTCTTGAGGACACAGCAAGGAGGCCACTATGGGTAGAGAGTGTTTGGGAAAAAGAGCCAATGGGATTGGCCCATATAGGGCCTGATAGGTCATTATATGCTTTTCTTCTTTCCCTCTGAGTAAAGGGAATATTATTCCAAGGTTTTGGGTAGAACAGTCACATGATTTGAACTGATTCTGGCTGCTAGGTTATAAACAATAATTAAGGGAGATATACTGGAAGAAGACTGCATTCAGCCAGAACACAGACATGAGACTGCCCAAGCCCGCTGAAATCTTGGCCACACCTTCAAGTGTCTGGCACAACCATTGCCTAGTCATTTCTCAGCTGGTTGAGAAACCACCAAAGGGGACTGTTGCTGTCCCACAGAGTTGGACTTGGTGCACGGAGCTGATAATAACACGCGTGGACTACTGACTGATGGTCAATAGCAGAAGTTTATTAACAGCACCAGACTTTTAAAGGAAGGTTGTCAAGTAGGCCTCCAGGAAGGAGGAGCTTAAGCCATTTACATCTCAACAGCAAGGTACAGTTCCCCAAAACACAGCTAGTTCCCCTAGCAAGTTCTTTATCTAAACCTGTGAACCAGGTTGTATCCTGCTCACTCATCTCTTTACCCATTGCTCCTGGTGCCTTCAGGGGAGATTCGGCTTGCTATTGTTTCCCACAATAGCAAAGATTCTGAATGTCCTTCTAGAGGGGACCATCTTGTCCTGCAGGTTCCTGCCCAGACAAGGAGGGGTCAGGGAACACTTAAAATCCCAAGGTCCTTCTTCATACCTGAGGTGTCTCTCCCTCTGTCCTTTCAAGAAGCACCCCACCTTCCGGCTCTCCCTCGGGAGGCACTTTCCTCTTCCCTCTTCTTTCTACATCCATGTGGTCACTTTGTGAATAAAGCTTCCCTGTCTGCAACTGAGTTCCAGGTTTTTATTTCTATCCTAAGCTGAGGAAAGAATCCACTGAGCTTTTCTGGTATATGTAGTTTAGATACTAATTTGAAATGCAGTTACAAAGAGGGAGAGATTTTTCATCTGTCAGTTACCCGACAAAGGACCACAAGGGCCCAATGCGAGGTCAGGTGAAACCAAAGAACCTGTCACAACAACCATCGGGTCTCTCACGTAGGCAGGAGGGACCACTTGAACCGTCTTCTCTTTTGCTGGGTGCATTAGCAGGAAGCTGGATCTGAAGTGGAACACCTGGGACTTCCCTCACCAGCACCCAGCATTGCAACTCCAGTCTTAAAAGATATTTTCTTATTCCAGGGTGGAGCTCTGGAGGTGGTGGCCAGTGGTTGGATGCTGCAGTAGTTTAAAGCTAGAACCCATAGGTGTTCCTGAAATGGAGGGAGAGAGGGGGAGTTAAGCAGAGGTTAAGAACTGACAGGATGATGTTTCCAGCGGTGGAGATGGGAAAGGCTGCAGGCAGGGCAGCCCAGAGGGACAGAGATCAGTCTGGTGAGAGACATGTCATTAGCCTTGAGAGTACCAGGGGCACACGGGTTTGGAAGTCTAGAATAGCGACAGAAAGTTCCTGCGGCGTACAGGTCAAGCGGGTGGAAGTACGAGAAGGAAAGCGGAGAGCAGCGTCCTCCTTCCCTCAGTCTCCAGTTAGGCTGGAACATCAGAAGCGACAACCAGAACGGAGCTGAAGCCCTTGTTTTATTTATTTATTTCCTCCTCTCAACACTCCCACTCTATAGAGCAAGAGGAAGACGGCGCCTTTACCGGCGTCGGTCCCCCTCACGTTCCTCAGGCTGTGTGAGCAGCCACGGGCGGCGGCCGGACGCCCATGGGGGGAACACGGCTCAGGCGCGCCGCGGGCAGCCGCCGCGGGGTCCTCGCCGCTGCGCGCGCCGCCCGGCTCCTTCCTCCCGCAGCTCGCCCGGCCCCGGCGCCTGGGAGCATGGCGGCGGCGATCGCGGGCCCCGGCCGGGCTCTGCTGCGGGCAGGCGCCGAGCGGCTGTTCGGAACAGGGGCCTGGGATCTACTGCGGCCGCCCCTGCAAGGGGGCCTGAAGCGCGACCTGAGCCTTTCTCACAGTCGGGTGAGAGTCGGGACTGCTGGTGGGGGGCTTGCCCCTAGCGGGCTGTGGACGCCTGAGCACCGGGTCGGGACCGGGTCGGGGTCGGGCGGGGCGCGGAGGGCACTGGGCACGGGTGTCCTCTGGCCCGGTCCGGCTGACCGTCGCCTTCCTGGCCGCCACAGGGCACGGTGATCGTGGAGCGCTGGTGGAAGGTGCCGCTGGCTGGGGAGGGTCGGAAGCCGCGCCTGCACCGGCGGCACCGAATCTACAAGCTGGTGGAGGACACGAAGCACCGGCCCAAGGAGAACCTGGAGCTCATCCTCACGCAGTCTGTGGAGGGTAAGGCCCAGGCTGCCGTTCCTGCTCTCCAGGCCCTCCTGGCTGGCATCACCTGCCCTTCTACCTCACCTTGGGGTTTTGCTTTCTGTGTTTTTGAAAACATCAACCTGATCTGTGTAAAAAAAAAAAGCCAGGAAAAGTCCTTTGGTTGTAATTTTCTGGTCTCCAGCCTAACAACTGTTACAGCCAAACTGAACTGTACTAGCTTGTTTGCCAGAGAGAGAACAGTCCTCACTTTGCAGGGAACATTCCTGTTTCTTTTTCTTTTTTTTTGTATTTGAGAGGCAGATGTACAGAGAGAAGGAGAGACAGGTCTTTGATCGCTGGTTTCTACTAGTTTATCCCCGAAAAGGCTGCAATGCTGGAGCTGAGCAGAGAGATTCAAAGCCTGGAGCCAGGAGCTTCTTCCTTGTCTCCCACGCAGGTGCAGGGTTCGAAGGACTTGAGCTATCTTCCGCTGCTTTGCCAAGCTGCAGCTAATGGGAAAGTGGAGCAGCCAGGACACAAACTTGCAGCTAATATGGGGTATTGATGCTTCAAGAGGGACGATTAGGTAGTTGAGCCATCATGGTGGCTGGGGAAGATGCTAGAAGTTCCTTGAAGCCCTAAGGACACTAATGAACAGTGACTTAAGTGTTGTTCCCAATGAACAGGAGTTAACATCTCCTTTAGAAAGGCCAAGCACTCTTAGAACACAGGCGGGAAGTTTCTCTTTGGGGATCCCTAGGTGGTTCTGATCTGTGCTTCTTCCCCCCGGCAGAACTTGGGGTCCGGGGTGATGTGATCTCCGTGAAGAAATCCGTCGGCCGGAATCGACTCCTTGCTCAGGGACTGGCAGTGTACGCCTCTCCGGAGAACAAGAAGCTTTTCGAAGAGGAGAAATTGGTGAGCTCCAAGGAGGGACAGAAGAATCGTGCTTGAAGGCTTTCTGTAGCTCCTTCCTTCTCTTTGATAATGGCTTTGGAAAGCAGAGGAGGGAATGAAAGAGCAAGAGTCCACAAGCCTTGTGTCTGAGAGCTTGGGAAGAGTGTGACGTCACTGAACATGGGTTTGTTTTCCCTTTTACTTGTTTTCATCTTTCCCTTTTCTAGCTAAGACAAGAAGGAAAGTTGGAGAAGATCCAGACCAAGGCAGGCGAGGCGGTAAGTAGGAACAGAAGTCTTGCCGTCTTACATGGGTCAGCAGTTTTTTTTTTATATATATATATAAGATTAATTTATGTTTTTATTGTAAAGACAGATATGCCGAAAGGAGGAGAGACAGAGGAAGATCTTCCATCTGCTGATTTTACTCCCTAAGTGGCTATAATGGCCTTAGCTGAACCAATCTGAAACCAGGAGCCCAGAGCCTCCTCTGGGTCTTCCACATGGGTGCAGGGTCCCAAGGCTTTGGGCTGTCCTTGAGCTTCTTTCCCAGGCCACAAGCAGGGAGCTGGATGGGAAGTGGAGCTGCCGAGGTTAGAACCAGCATCCATGCGGCCCGACATGGTGGCCTAGCGGCTAAAGTCCTCGCCTTGAATGCGCCGGGAAATTTTCAGCACTTTAATGTAGGAAACAGAGCAGCCCAGCTGAATGGAGGACTTAGGGAGTGTAAGGACACAGCTTGGCTGGAGCAGGCCTTGGGGCAAGCCTTGTACAGCTTCTACAATGTTTAGGTAATGGGTTTCTGTTTCATTGTGGAAGCTGAGAACTATTAATGGGATATAAGACAAGATTGAAGGACCAAAAGTATTGTATAAAAACAGTTTGCAAAAGTCATTCCAAACTGGCATTGCTTGTTTCTCCTTGGGGACAGCAGCAGGGGACATTCCCTACAGTGGGTTGCTAAAATACCTTTACAAAATGAGAATACTTTTAAGATCCATGTGTATGAAGAGTCTTCCCCCACCCCAAGAAACTAATGAAAACTGCATATTATACAAAAAACATGTGTGAATATGAAAATTCTTTGGCACCAAAAAATGAACTTCTTAAAGAACCTTCTCCTGGGCCTTGGACGACAGGGATACTCTGTCCTTCCCGTTGGCCCTCCTGCCTGCCTGCCTGAGCCGTGAGGCAGGACTTACGCCTTTGTCCTGCACTCTTGGATCTTGCAACTTCTGTGAGCGTGTGTCCTGTCTTCACTCCAGCCCTAACCCAGCCGCTGTTTATAACTGCTTTCAGACGGTGAAGTTTCTGAGGACCTGTCACCTGGAGGTGGGGATGAAGAATAATGTCAAGTGGGAGCTGAACCCTGAAATAGTTGCCCGCCATTTCCTCAAGAACGTGAGTTCCTAGTGTTCCTTAGCACCCCAGCACTCCTGGGTGGAAGAGGCCCAGGAGTGACCTCTGTGTTAGGAAAGGGTGTCCTCACCCCACAGTTAGGGAAGGCATTCTGGGATAGTTTGTTGTGGCTAGGGACTGAGGAAGGTCATGTAGGGTTTTGTTTGTATGTTTTAAGATTTATTTGGGGGTCAGCAGGTGGAAGACGAATGGAGAAAGGTGGTGGTTTCCATTAATTTGCTCTCAAGGAAGAAAAACCTAGGGACATGTAACTCACTGGGGAGGATTGTTTCCTTGTGGTAAATGATTTGAGTATTAAGTCCTGTTTCTCTTGTGAACCTCCCTTTCTGAGAAATGATGACTGAATTTCTCTGCTATCGCCTGTGAGGGTGCCTGTCCCACTTCTGCCCTCCCACTCACCCATGGGGTCATCCAGAGTAAACTGTTCTATTCATCCTCCAGGAAATCCTAGAACCCTTCTTTATTGAGGTTGTCTAGAGTAGCAGCCGTGAAAACAGTTCTCTTTGAATTGTTGATTTGTTTTGACAGCTTGGTGTTGTGGTTGCCCCTCATGCGTTAAAGCTACCGGAAGAACCCATCACTCGGTGGGGCGAGTACTGGTGTGAGGTGACGGTGAGTGTTTCGCGGACTCTCCTTTTTCTGACCCAGGTTGGAAAGCTGGGTTTGGGTGCTGTTGGCTTTTAACTGTCTATCTGAGAATTCCCGTTTGTGTGCATGTGTGTGTGTGTTTGTGTATTTAGGTCAATGGGCTTGACACTGTGAAAGTGCCCATGTCTGTGGTAAACTTTGAGAAGCCCAAGACCAAAAGATACAAGTACTGGCTGGCCCAGCAAGCTGCTAAGGCTGTGACGTCCCCCGGCAACCAGATGTGAACCAGCTCTCGTTCCAAGACAGCAAGGCCAGCTCAGAGGAGCAGGGCTACATAGCTGGACCAGTATGCTGATCTTACTCCCAGCTCTAACCCAATGTGGAATTCAGGAGGCTATACAGAGAAATCAGACTAAACCACATACACATCTTGAATTCTCCACATTGTCATTTCCGTCCTTGGCTGGCATCACACCCGGCCTTCCTGGGGCAGTGCTGCTCAGGAAGTACCAGGCTGGAGACTGGACCAGGTGGGTACCTGGAAGCTGGAGGGAACCGTCCAGATTCTGCTCTTCCTCCGTTGGAGTTTATTGGGACAAGTGGAGGAGTAAGCTGTTGGAACTGCCCCTCGACTCAGTTCTTCATTCGAGCATCTGCATCTCAAGCAGAAATAAAGAGGTGTGTTCTCTTTAGGTGTTGTTGAATGGGTTTTAGCAGGTAAGGGACACCAGGGAGGTCCTGGAGCCATTGAGGTTTGTTGTTGAAAAAAGTGACTACGTAAGCAAGTTACATCCCACAGTTGCTATAAGCAAATTCCTGGTAATAAGTAGTGCATGATTGATCTTAAAGCTTATTAGATCTACAGTCATCAATTTGAAGAAGTACAGTGGATTCATCTCTGAGGGGAACTAACCAGTCTGAGGGTAAGTGTTGGAGAAAATGAAGCTGAGTGGAAAAGTTTGAGACTGGTAAATCCTGAATCAATTCTTGAAATTCTGAAAAAGGTACGTTGGTTTCTAGAACAAGGTTAAGACTAAGGAGGTCATTAGGTCATTCTGGAATGGATGCCTTTCTGAAATGAGGGAGGCAGATAATTCCACGTGTGTTTAGTAGAAAAAAGAACATCCATTGGCAGGTGAATTGTGCCCAGGTCTCCAATAACATGAGGTCTGTGATTTAGAGAGGCCAGGATGGAACCATGACTCCTTTACTGTCCTTCCAGAAGCTCCTGTCATTCTACTTGAACTCTCCTGCCCCTGTGAGCCAGGCAAGCCCCACTGGCTGTTGTTTCTTTCCTCACATCTATAGCCACTTGGATCAAGGGATCCCTTATGACCAGATGACGGAAGAGAAGGCTGAATCTGGTTGGGATGGCCTCTGGATCTCATGACAAGTGTGGATCAAACCTAAGTCAGCCCTTGGTGGCCCTGCCTGAGGTCTTACAGGCAGAAAAGGCAAACCCATACCCAGAGTTAACAGATATTCCCCGTCAGCATGAAGCACTGGTGCTTGGAGGTAGCGGGGACACAGTGTAGTCAGCTTCCTGAAGAAGGGGAACGGGTGGTTCCCCTTGCAGTGACTTCTCAGTGGATGGTGTGCCAACAGCAGTTTTTGTCCATGAGCTTCTCCCTCCGTCCATGGGCTCATTTTGCCAGTGTTGCGATGCCAACCACAGTCTGGCTAACATTGTTTGGGTGAGGCATTCAGTTCACTTTGCTGTGGTAGGTTGTCTTTCTGTGGCAGATGGCCATTAACATGTAATGTCAAAAGGCCGACACACTTTATACTCCGTTTTCAGATATCCTGTGTGCCCTTTCCCCAGACTACCTGGACTGTGATGTTACACTGTTTCTGCCAGGTTCCTGACCAAGCCATTCACCCCAGTGAGTGTATGTATGTGTAGAAGCTTACTTCAGACAGATGCACAACACGACCTTCTGACAATTGGGAAGAATTCCCCTCACTGCCATGTTGGAAGTGCATCAGTGAGACCACAGTGCAGCCAGTCTGTTTTCAGCTTATTTCCACCCAGCAAGATACCCATGCATGTGGTGGCCTCAGCCCTTGTCTTCTGCCATCTGGGTCACACGAGATCCTTGACCCCCAGGTGGCTGTAGATGTAAACCAAGACGACCACTGGAGCCAGCAGTGCTTAACTGGCTCACAGTGTGGGTGACTGGGTCTGATCACCTTAAGCAGCTTTTTCTTTCTAGCCCTACTTGTGTCCAGCTCTGTGTATGACCACTCCATCTTATGGATGAGACCTACTCAATGTTACAATTTGTAGCTCTGATAGAACACAGGTTGTAATAAGTGTTTATGGCTATATAGCCAGTGGAGGTCACATGGAAAGTAGTGTCTCCCCACCAGGACCAGTCGTAGGCCTGGAGTATCTTTTCAAAGTTGTGTTGTACTCTGTCTCAGGCGGCTTGGCCTTGCTTCAGAACTGAGCTGGCCGTCCTATTGGGATTTGCGTGAACAACATATGGTCTTTCCCCAACACTGAGGCCTCTAATATGGTGTCTTGTGGCCCCAATAGCAGGGCTGCTTACGCCACAGTCTGCACCCGCTACACACCTTTCCTGCTCTGGGCTCCTCCTGAGATTGTTGGGTCAGAGACATGTCTCCAAGCATGGAGTATGCCCTCTGGACACCCACCAAGGTTTGTCAGGCAGCGTGTTCCCTTCTTAGTGGTGAGAATGGGAAAGGCAGATTTTCTTCTTGAGTTCAGAGGGACTGTCCTGACAGGGCTTCAGGCCACTAGAGTTCTGAAGACATCTCTGCAATGGCAGGATTCTGAATACTTGGAGGGTTTGGGTACTGCCCTTTACAGAGCATCTGTCCTACCAAATCCTCCAGGGCACTTGCCATTTCTTGTTTATCATGTGACTGTGATGTCATCAATGCAGTACTGTGATGTCCTATAGGAGGCCAGATGGTCCAGGTCTCCACACACTACATCATGATAGAAGCAGGAAAGTTTACAAAGCTCACAGGCAACGGGCTGTACATTGCTTAGCTCTGTGGAAGGAACCTTTTTAAAAATCTTGTAGAAAATAATACATTGCCCAAGCCAGTACATACCGTGTTCCTGAGCCTGTGTTCATCTGCTCTGGTGAAGATTTGAGATGGCCAATAGGATTACTGCTTACTGACTGACAGTACGCTCGTTCACTATGCTGGTGAATTAGATGGCAAGATGATGGGGATCACTGTCTATATCCTTTAAGCCTATGAGAGGCACACTAATCTATTACATTTATTACTAATTGGCCTGGAATGATGAAGGCAGTTCCAAGGGCTTCATGTCAGCCTTCCACCCATAGCTCCTGCCTCACAAACTAGGAAACCAGTGTACTATTTGTGCTATCAAGTATGTCCATTGCACATATCCACTAAGAATCACTAGATGGGGGCCCTGCACCATAATCTAGTGGCTAAAGTCCTCACCTTGAATGTACCAGGATCCCATCTGGGCGCCGGTCCTAATCCTGGTGGCCCCACTTCCTATCCAGTTCCCTGCTTGTGGTCTGGGAAAGCAGTCCAGGACGGCCCAAAGCCTTAGGACCCTGCACCCCCATGGTAGACCAGGAAGAGGCTCTGGGCTCCTGGCTTCAAATCGGCTTAGCTCTGGACATTGCAGTCACTTGGGGAAGAGAATCATCGGATGGAAGATCTTCCTCTCTGTCTCTCCTCCTCTCTGTATTGTCCCGTCCATCAGGACAGTCAACGGGGGTCGCAACCAACCTAGGAGAGAATGAAGGGACAAGAGAGGAGGAATGGACAGCAAGACAGGATGTCTGATCAAGCTGTCAGTTTATTGATTTCAACTGAGGGTTTTTATATTCTTCAGTAACTAAGGCTCAGGGAGGAAAGGAGAAACTGGGATGCAAGCCATGGTCTCAAGCCTGGAGCAGCCACCATATCAACAATAGTAACCAGCATATCGACAATAGCATAGGTAATCGGTAACAAGATGTCGGCAGGTGCAACATAAATCACATTCTGAAACAGTTGCTAGAAACGATTGAAGCTAAGTATGTGAGTAGTTTCATAACTTCTTTCCCAAGCATTTAGCCAGCTGGGTGTTTTCCACTGGCCCATAGGTCTATATTCAAAATGGCTTCAGTGTGGCTATGGTATACGACTCCTGACACTATATCTGACTTTCCAATCACTAGGTAGGTCTGTGGACCCAGCATCTCACCTGAACCAGGCCAACCCCCAGACTTTAACAGGCCTGTGATGATGCTTCAGTCCCTGCAGTGACCATGTCAAGTAAGACCCTGTCTACCCAGAAGTTCATGAGACGTTGGGATAACCTTTCTCCATTGTGGGTGACACATGGAAGGTCACAGATCCTTACAGTGATGGCCTGGGGGAATTAGTGTTGTAAACACAGCATGGTGTCTCCGGGTCCCTTCTCTTAAGAAGCATTTAGACAGTGGCTTCCCACCAAAGCGCTGGCTCCAAAAGACTTCCACTTTTCCTCTCTGAAGGAGTTACAACTACAGAAATTGTCCTCCCACTACAAGCCATGCAACTAGACAGAATTAGAAAACAAATGTGTATATGGAGATCTTGAAAAACAGGCAGTGTGAAGTTTAACAGAAAAGGAAAGCAAAGCCCTATCATTGCTTCAGCTTACTGCCCACAGGTGACTGTCCGCCAGATCCCCTCAGGAGCTATGCCAAGAGTGGAGCTCATGCACAGCCAGCTGGCTTCACTTCTCCGCTGGGTGGAGGGCACAGAGACCACTGCTGGGAGAGAGTGGGCGGGCTGGAAATGACGGGGCTTGAGCTGAGGAAGTGGCACAGAACTTTGGAGCCCTGCGGGGAGGGGGGTCTTTGATGTGCACACATGGGGTGAGACACCCCAAAAGAGTGGGTGAAAGAGATCCCAGGAGCTGTAAGCCAGGCACTCCTCAGCTCACCCAAGGCTGTGCATTTTCATTTCCTGTCAGCCGTTGTGAGTAGAACTTGCAATATGGGTACATAAGGCATCAGAGGAAGACTTTCAGGACTACAGTGAAGGCGTGTGGATTCACCATGAGCAGCTTTAGAGCATGCCAATCCAAATCCATCACTCATTAAAGAAAAGCAAGATCCACTGAGTAAACATGGAATTCCTAATGTCTGACATCTAAGTAAGTATTAAAATAGGAAGTAACACTGAGTGTGGTGGTTAAGACAGGACTTAGGACATCCATAGCTTAGGGTCAACGCTGTGGCATAGTGGGTCAAGCTGGCACCATCTGCAGTCCCAGATGAATGTTGGTTCAAGTCCCAGCTGCTCCACTTGTGAGCTCCCTGCTGATGTGGGAAAGCACTGGGCATTCCTGCCACCCACGAGGGAGATGGGAGTTCCCGGGTCCACACGTCTGCCTGGTCTGCATTGGGACATAAACCAGCCAATGGAAGCTTTCTCGGTCTCTTCCTTTCTCTTTATAACCGTGCCTTTCAAATAAGTAAATAACTTCTTAAGAAAATGTTTCTCTTGGTCTGTCTTCCAGCAGGACCGGCATTGTGGCCTAACGGGTCATGCTGCTCCTGCGACACTGGCATCCCACATGGGCTGCAGTTTGTGTCTGTGCCGCTGCACTTCCAACCCAGCTGCCTGTTAGCAGTGGGGGAAGGGCTTGGGCCCCTCCACCCGTCTGGGAGGCCTGAGCTCAGCCCCAGTGTTGGGAGC